CAACACTTTACATTCATTTTTTCTTTCGGTGTCTAGCTCGCATTTTTGTTTTCAACAAATTTTCCAGCCACCCCTATGATTTCAAATGGTCGATCCTTTATTCATTGTAACTTCTGTACAACTGTTTTGTTTTTGCTTTTTAGATTAGCATTTGACTATGTCCCATTTACAATGAATGATGGTAATACATTTATTATATTTAATATTCAATAAGGTGTACCGCGGTATGTGCAATTAATTCTAGTGGGATAAAACTCATCAGCCTCGGTCAAGAAGTCACATGATCACATAGCAGATCAGGTGATTCTCGACCGTTGACCTCTGGACATTAATACATGATTGATTAGTTTTGATATTGTAAATTAGATTATAAAACAAAAGATTGCGTCTTCTGTGTCCCTGCCAAGATCGCTGTGTAAATATGTTATCCAACGTTTTGACATGACGATATTGTGTTGACACGAACAACCCGTATTGAGTGGACACGTGTACACACACAAAATGGATGACCTGCATAGCAATGGCGTTGATTTCATTTGCTTTCTCCAAGAGACACTCAGAACACAAACCGATCAGATGTTATTATTATCACACATGGGAGACCCAAGAAATGCTTTCCTCATATATTTCCCGATCGCGTTCTGTCTATGCCCAAGTGTAGGGCAAAAAGTGCTGTGGATAGCGGCGATATCGGAGTGGTTAAACGCTGTCTTGAAATGGTAGGTCTATTTATTTGCTCCATTTGAAGCGGATTTCATATAAAACATTGAATCTATTGTATGCTTTATAATTAAATATGACACGCCTCTTTCATGAGGGTACATTCGCTATGACAAAAACAGTATTTTAATAAATTTTATCCATCCCACAAGCATTTTAAGGGGCTTACCATTTGAAATTGGGGGTGGGGTGGACGAATGTTTTTTTTTGCTAATATTTTATTCGCACATTGCCAATGACAATTTTAGACGTTTTTGTTTGCTCTTCAGCTACAACTCCCCCATTCTCTTGTTTTTCAAATCGGAAACCCAAACTACTTGTCATTGAACATTATGTTCTGACTGATATTCACTGCATGGATATGTACCCACTCCTTCTCTAAAACTTCACTTTACTTCACTCCAGTGTATATCATTATTATGCCATTCAATTTCTGCTAAGTATATTTCATTTTGAATTTATATGATTGCAAATGGCAGCCAACACAAACCCAAAGCAGACACACAAACATGTGAATAAATATTTGTATTACAAAGGTTGAAAAATCAACTTAAAAGACAAACATTTATTCAAATTTGAATATTTTTAGCAGAAATTAGATTCATAAAGAAATATACTCAGTGTGATATGCATGATTGCTGATACAAATAATGGATGTGAGAAATCACCATAGTAACCAAATATTTGCCGTACATATATTCCCGAAAATGGAATTAATGTTTTTCTCAAAAGAATTGCTCTATATTTGCAGGATATTGTTTGGGCATCGTCCATATTGGTGGGTTCATGAATCGTCATTGTATACCGAAGAAACCCGACCTGATATTCTGCAGTTTCCAATAACTTGTGAAACTGGTCCAGGTGAATATAACCCTTTTATCTATTTTGATTACCACGATATATATTCAGTTTCATCTTAAAGGGTAAACGAATGTAGCAAGCTTTATAATAGAACATAGAGATTTGCTTTAGGATGCAAGTTTAATAACATGCAACTTATTACATGGCTAGAACTGTTGACCAATCAGAATACAAGATTTGCAGTGGATCATAAGCTGTAATTTACTCTTGGGGAGACAAGGGAATCATACAATTATCATACACAAATTATATGAAAAGTGGCTACTTTCTAGCAAACAATCAAATAAAATTGTCATTTTTCCAGTGACCCACAACAGAATCACAACAAGCGAAACTAAATTAGACTTGGCTTTTATTTCATTAGAAATCTGGGTTAGAGATCAGTGAGTAGTAAAGATTCACGCAGTAAAATTGTATACAACTCGGTGTATTTTTAATTTTAAGCTATGATTTTTAATTTCTCATTTTAAAAGTTATACCGTATCTTACTGTTTATTTCGAGAACACAATTCAAAACACCCATATCAATGGTCAATTTTGTGTCCGACACTGGCACCCAACGTCAA